ATTTAGATTTTATAAGCTGATACCTTATGGGCATGGGCATAATCTTTGATAATCCAAATACAAGTTATGGGATTAAGTTCAAATTATATAGGCTAATGTCTGAGGAAGAAAATTTTTCAAGATGGCTGCCACTTTTCAAAATGGCCACCATTTATTGGTAAATTTTATAGTTATTATTATTGTACCTAACAAAAGGTACGATATTGTAGTCAGCTTGACTTGATTTTCAGGGATGTTTCTATATATCAACGTCAAGAACTGATTAGTTTTTGGGCATTCTGGGTAAATCTTAAGGTGGCCATTTTGGATTTTCTGTCCTAAAATCTTCACTTTCAAGACTTGTATACTTAAATGAATGTTATCAGATTTGGTCCAAATTATAAGTTGATTGGGTGTTAGGGTTTCCAATATGGCCACCTATTTTCAAAATTGCAAACATTTATCGTAAAAAACATAATCTTTGAATTTTCAAATACCAGTAGATGGATTTGGTTGTTGTAGTTTCTATATTCCTGATGTCTGGGTATTATATGAAAGATGCAGGCAAAGGGTATGCTATTCAGTACACCTGAGTATTTTCGAAGAGTCTAGCAGTTATTTACCTTAAAAACAATATTGCTTCAAATGTTTTTGTTGCATCAAAATGTTAATTAAATTTTATGGCTGGTCTATATAATGCAAGGGAAAGATCAATACCCGGTGATTTCAGCGGGAAGTGGCGTTTCGTTCATTGGATGAGCTGCGCGCGCACGCATAAATGTGATTATCCAATATAATTAGGGGAGGGCTATTTGAAGTAGTTTTTGGTCTCAGGCGCGACCCAGGGCTGTTGTCTTAAGGACATTTCGTTGAAAATGAGCCATTCAGCTGATAATTGGTAAGAGTTTGCGATCTTATAATGTATAACTGTTACTCAGACACATATTTTGACACGATTCTGTTGGAAATAAGCTTTGAACCGAGAGATATTCACGATTGATATGCACATTTTTGATTGTGCCATTGCTTTTCTATTGCACAACCCATGTATTGATAGAAGAAACATTAATAATACAGATTGGTTTACCTTCAATACATGGCAGACACTACATATCGGTCTATTAATACCAGTTTGTGCCTTAAATAGTTTTATATTTCCATCCACGGCCTGGAGCCTGGGTGTGTTTGTCTCTTATGTGTATGCTTGTGCATGGACTTCTAATCACTAGCAGAATTTAACATGATGCAAACTCGACATTATAACTCATGCTGTAACATTTTGACTTCGCTGGAAAACAATAGGAATTATTTTTTTTGCCAATCAATCATGAATCACAATCAAAATTTCAGAATGATCAATCAGGCAATGATCCAAATCAAGTTATAACATTATATGATATTCAGCAAGAAGTCCGGTAGAAATACAGAATATTTAAACATCAAAGCTGAAAGTTAAAAGCTAATCTGTCAATTTTCTGTCTGCAAAAGAGCGTCCCAAGAGCGTTTACATTTGACACAATAACAGACTGAGGCCTTGAAATCTAGGATTCCCCAGGAAAATATGACGTCATACTAATTAGCATAAGGATTTCCCTATTGGGGTGGGTCGAGCCTTGTTCGAAAACACAATCCATAAATACATGCTAATTTCTAAGGAGATAGGAAGTGTATAACGTGTTTATCGATTTTGTTTAAAGATTTAATCAATTATCAAATTGTTTAAGTGGATAAAGTGGTCACACTTGCTTCAATTCATAGCGAAATCGACGGATAGAAACTGACCGAATTCCCGATATCCTACCCCGTATTACTGTAGGCTATAAGCACAGTGACCTACAGAGGGCGCTATCACAAACAAGTACTGGACGAACCGATAAATTCCCGGGTATTGTAACGCCCTTGTATAATGTAGAATTAATTTTGGTTTATACTTGATAACTTGGTTTATATTCATTCGTATTCTTCTTAATTTAAAAACATGCCTATGTTGAACTTTTTAGCTGGGTTGTATTTTGCTATGTTCTGGCACTGACCCATTTTTATTGTTTGTTTAGTTGATCCTGGCAGGCTCACCTGATAAAAGAGATCATTCAGATTATGGTTAGAATTGAAACTGGAAAGGAAACTGAAGGAAGGTTGTAATCTCTCAAGTCCATATAAAAAGTAAAGGCTTTCCAAGTATAATGCCTTTGGTACCTCTAAAATAAAAAGTGTTCAACTTAAGCGGTGTTCTACTTATAGAGGTTGATTTAACAACAAGACAGTTGATCTTGGGACTCTAAAGGTTTTTCACTTAAGAGGTGTTCCACTTATAGAGGTTGATTTAGCAATAAGACAGTTGGTCTCGGACTCTGAAAAGTGTTCCAATAACAGTGGTGTTCTACTTTTCAAGTTTCACTGTACATGTACTTGTAGTTAATTACAATTGCAAAACAGATTAATGTAAATAGTTACAGAAAAAAACCATAAAGGAAAAGACATGGTTGGGTAGGTTAGGATTTAGCTCACAATTCAATTATTGTAACCTTGTCCTGCAAAAAGTCAAACTTCCCCCTCCCTGTAGATTTGAGTTGTATGTCTGTTTATGATGCAATGGTTGATGTACTCTGGTGGAATCTAGAAATATGAAATATGAAAACCTTTTCATTGAAAGTTGTTATATCTGGAGATTCAGTGAAAGCTTGTCTGATGTGAACTTTCTTTTAAGGGACAGGAGTTACTCAGACTTTTTTACCCTTCATCAGATTCAACAATCATACTCTTTAAATGAGTGATCTCTGAATTTGCTGAGCCAATCAGATTCTCCTGTTCCTCCCCATAGCATTATCAGCATATGCTTGAATAAGAAAACAATTATGAAGGTGGTTCTGTCATGAAGTAGATTAAAATCTAAATTATAAGACAATCAACCCAATGATCGTAGGCAGAAGGTGCTGTATTAGCCAATGAACTTTCACCAGGTTGTTGACCCTTTCACCATTCAAAGAGTTTTTTATGTGGAAGTATGTGGCAGATTTATTGGAAAGATGTTTACTTACAATGCGTGGCTTGGAATCTTTGTACAAGGTGACATGAAAATACAAACCTCTAATAAACTTGATGTGAGTAGAAATAATCTTGATTTACATCAATAAATATTTGAAATTCAGTCAAAGTGATGTCATATTTGAAATCTACATGTAAAAGTACATCTAGATATATGGTTTCGAAAATTGTTGATCACCTTTGAAAATTTAATTTTTTTGAAAATGTGACTTCTAGTTCAGGTTGATTCCCCGTAGACCCCATGTTACAAAATTACAAAAAGTGAGATATTTTTTCTTGTATTGAACATTTTCTTTTACTGGACATATTTTAATTTGCAAAACTATTAAATACATAAGGGTTATATGAAAATTGGACTACTAAAACAGATGTACTTTAAGTCAAAGGGAACTTTCTGCTATACCCGCAATGCTATCTGACCCGAACAAGCCACCTGGTGGTGAAACTGGTAACAACCTACTCGCATTTGCATTATTAATGATACTGATAGATTGTTCACATGTCTGTCTTCGTCAACATTAATAAATACAATATATCAAATAAGCAAGTCAATTCATCATTATTAATAAAGTTATTTCAAAATGTGGGTAGGTAGAATGCTTTATTGATTCTACATATCTGGAATGGTGATAGACAACTAGTCGATCTCGACAGCAACTTGTATTTCACTGAAAGTCAACTTCAAAATTGAAAGTTGAAAGTCGAATCCCCAGAAAAATGAATGATGAAAAAGAAAAAAAAAATTCAAACTTACATTTCAAACTGGACAATGTTTTATTTTTGAAATTTTATTTTCGTGAAAAGTCGGAGAAGTCAACTTCAACTCAACTTGTCAACTTTGATTTCCAGAGTTGGTTCTACCACTAATATGGAAGCAAATCAAGGAGTGAATCAAAAAATGGTATTGACAAATTCAGAAAATTATGTTATTTCTCTCAGTCATAAAGTTGGTGATGCCATAACTACCCAAAAGTTTCAAGCAGATTCCTCAATCATAATTGAGAATGTTGTTTCAAAACTAAACGCATATATTTTTGTCACCCTGTAATAGAATTATCTGTCTTCAAGACAAGTCCAATATGTTCATTGTCCTTTCCAGTGCATTGCCTCGGAATTTTTGAACAAAACGATTGAGAATTTTCACACCTGTTACTCTGAGTAAGATTTCAATGCAGATTATTAACAAAGAAATACTGCATCAATAAATTTCTTGAGCTAATCTAATATGGATGGTAACTAGTATTATCTCTCCTGTATAGAAACTTTAAGACTCGGATAATATCAGGTGTTGTCATATAATATCTTTCTGGAGAAGAGAGTGTCGACTTATAAAAGTGAAGGTTAATAATTTACGACTTAATAGCTAGAGATCACTATTGTTAATGTTTGTTGTGTTTAATGCACTGCTTGATCAATAAGGAATTGCCCGGTGACGTCATTCAAAGACAAATGTGTTGAATATTTTATATAAAATGCATTATATGATGTGTACTTTCTAAAATGTTAATATAGTTGTGTAAGCTAAGTACATCTTATATAAATATATAGTAACAACTTTTTTGTATCATACTACCGTCCTTTCTAAATCAGATTAGCATTAGTTTTTAGAAACGCAAGTCGTGGATTTATTACAGCAGATAACGGCTTATTCTTTCTAATCTGATGACGCACGGAAGCAATTGTAACAATACGATGAGAGATATTTCTATATCACTCAGTGACTTGCATTTCACAAATGATGAATTGTAATTCAGAAGCTACATTTATAAGTTAAAAATTCTGTAATGCTGAAAGCTTGTTTGATATTTATACAATATGGCTTGTAATGATTCAAGAAAATGTCTTGTTATATCAAATTATTCATATTAAAATTATATCATATTCTATGAATTTTAATTATTATGCTATTTACAAATAGCTTGTTTCTTTGATATTCTCTATTGCTATCACTTACCATTTTATATTTAACATTTCAGTTTGGTTGTCATGGAGGGTACTTGTATGGAGCTGGCCCTTGAGGGGGAACGCCTCTGTAAAGCAGGTGACTGCCGCACAGGGGTCGAGTTCTTCGAAGCCGCTGTACGTGTGGGCACAGATGACATACAGACCCTGAGTGCCATCTATAGTCAACTTGGGAATGCATATTTCTGTTTACAAGAGTATGGCAAAGCATTGGAATATCATAGACATGATCTCAATCTCACCAGGTTAGTACTACATATGTATGCCACTCTGGGGCCATAATTTCGGTGTCCTTTCTTTGCTGTATTAGTAGCATTCATGATTTTTTCACAAAGTAATGGTTTCAAATCAGACCTAAATTCCAGTGCTGAAACTGCACATCAAAATTATTTAAAGTTTTAAGTCGGTCTATTTTGATGTTGTCATATTGTATATTGTGAAAGCCACCATCTGTAAATGTCCTATAAATTGCTTTCAGTGTCAGCACTTCTAAAAAATTGTAATACTTTTGTAGTACGAGGGGGTATCATTAATTAGGGAGACAATGTTTCCTGTTACCATGGCAATAATTTATTTGTGACATGTAACATTTTTGGAACAATGATTCAAGGAATTATAAGCTATAACTGTTCGAAGAAATATTAAGGTTATCTTGACTTGAAATCCATAGGGGTGTGTACAGATAGAGATGTCACAAGTGTTCACATTTTGGGTGATATCTGTTACCAAGACAACAGATTATGGGATATAAGCACTTTTAACATTTATTAAATAAGTGATAACTTGAGAACAATGTTTTGAAATATGTATGATCTCCTATAAGAATATTCTGGGTATATATTTATTTCAACGGCATATTATACTCCACATCATCAGTTTAGGCAGTTTGAGTTACCATGCTAATGTGCAACTGGGTAGTTAGTTGAGTTGAGTTAGTGCCTTGTCCTCATTTTTGAGTGGGTACAACCCTATTTTCGAAATAAGTGTGTATAGCACCTTCTTGTTTCATATCAGAGAGCATCTCAAGGATACAGATTTATTAATATTGTATGCAGTTTAAATATTATGTATCAAATATTTGCAGTTACTCAGAAGGGGAAAATTGACATTTGCTCACATATGTTAAGCTGTAACAATAAGTGCTCAATTGATTGTAAATCCTATATTAAGTATATGTATATATGGAAGTAACTCACGTATGAATAATCTGTTCACGTGTATTTTCACTTACTGTGAAGTCTTTACCTAATGTTTCAATAATAAGGTAATGTTTTGCCAAAAAATTACTAGTTCTACACTGTTAATACAGTCTAATAACTGCTATTTGTTCATTTTTGGTCCCAATTTTTTCAATAATCGTAACTCAGTATGGATATTATAATGTGGGAATAATGCCTGGAAACTGCACAAATGATTGGTGTAAATAGAAAATTGTGCAGTTTCAAGTATGTGAACAAATTGGCGATATATGTTTTGTCAGTAATGATAATATTTTGACTGGTCTGAAAAGCATTTGACAAGAATATTTCAAAGTAAAGTGTGTGGACTTTTCCGACATTCTATTATTGTTATATATAAATACTGTATGATATTATTGCTATTTATTATTGCAATTGTAAAGTGTGAGTCTGTGATCGATTCTTGTGATATAAATAGATTTGTCATGCAACATACTTCATCTGAAAACTAAGAAAGCAAATCGCCACGCTCCATCAAAATAAACATCTATCAGCCATAGTAGCCCATTTATATATTTGAAGTTTTATAGATGAAACTTATAACTTTCACAGATAACTTATTACCGGTTTGATTTTTCTGTCTTTGACAAAAATCTTGTACATACACCAATTGTAACAGGAAAGTGATGAAAAGTAGCATATTGAAAAGGATACCCTTATAAAATTCCTTATGCCAGATAAATTTGTTACACCGCACTAAATGATTTCAGTCAGCATGGTCACAAAGTATCTGTATGATCGATGGCAAATGCATCCAATGAAGTAAGGAATTGATTCAAGTGTGACAAAATGAGCAATAATGGCTCAATAGAGGCACTGATTTTCATAGCACATTTTACCGCTAAAAGAGAGCTCCTTATAGAAAGTCAACTGCTCAATTGTTCAATACTTTTAAGGTCGTTCATATTCTGATCATGGGAATACACAGGACAGTATACCCTTCTTGTGGAAAGCAAACTGCTCAATTGTTTAATGTTTTCACTTTCTGTCTGTGTTATGTTGAATTTTATTGACAGCGTTGATGGAAAATGAATGGTAACTTGACATGCGGCTCTGTCTTTCAGGTTGGTTCTGATGCCCTTGGGGTATATTGATTGAGACATATTCAGATTAAAGAATGACATGTACTGATTTGATTAATTGGAAATGACAACTAGTTAGGATCAATTTAGAAGAGATATGAAACCATTTTACTTTGTGAATGGTGAGTCAGACTATATTATTGAATCTCAGTAGGGTCAGGATGTTTTCTATAACATTCAAGTAGATCTTATTTTTATTTTTACTCAAGTTTATCATCCAAGATGATAGACAAAATTTGTTAGATATAGATAAACCTTCGAATTGAGTTCAAATTGAGTAAGTAAAGCTATTTTCTTAAAATATCACAAATTCTGAAATATTTGAGCATTTCTTTGTAGGTGTTTTCAATCAAAACTATTAGTTCATGTGACAAATCCAAATTTCAATCAATTGAGTTGAAATTAAAGGTTTATCAATACGGAATGGATTTTTTTCTACCATCTTAGATGATATTAACCATGGGCAGTATCATCTTGCTCTAGAACAGTGATTTAAGCTTCTACAGTATCAGTGAACTCAAATTTGGTCAGAACATCTCATTATTTCAAACTTTTGGTAGAATATCATATTTTCATATTTTCAAATTTTCAACAGTGTAGTACCCAGTTGTCCTAATGCTTGAGGTGATCAATTTCAGTATAAAGCCTTATTTCAATTTTCAACTCGATTTATGAACCTTTGCCTAACTAATCAGATATCAGACATATAAACCGAGTTTGGAGCTTCCCAGGCCGCTCCTAAAGAAGACATAATTGTATTAAGCATCATCTTTTGATTGTTAATTTGTGACAGTTTTCTTTATTGGAGAAGACATTTATATGGAGTCATTAGAGAGTAAGATGATAATATTGTCTCCCTAACGTTAGTGCCAGTATGAATTATTCCATGTAAAGACTCATATACAGGGTGTCAAATATTAGTCCCCACTCTACAGCCAAAATAGGAAAAGATGGTACATAGGGTGATATACCATTGGAAAGATCATCCAAAGTTACATTAACTCACCATCTCTCAAGTAGTTTAGATGACATCTACCTTTATTTTGATGATTTCTTTAATAGTTGTATTTTAATATCATAAGAAATTAATACCCTTTTCAATTGTTTGATTTTGCATGTTTAAAAGAGAGCTTCATCTACACTCTTAGGATAATCCTTTCATCTAGTCTTAACCAATCAGAATCCAGCTACATAATCAAAATAGCATTCAATGAATTCATGCTTTTTTAAGTACTTGGGATTTAATACAGATTGAAACTTACATTGAAGGCTTCCTTGAGAGCAGAGCAGGTACATGTACGTTGAAAACAAAATGAAGATGAAACTCTCTTTTAAGAAGCAAAGTCAAATTAATGGAAATGGTACTTTTGGGGTTATTTTGATCTCATTAACATCCAAACTTCATATTTATTTCTATCCAGAGCCTTGTTACTAAGGGGAGGCATCAAAAGTTCGATGTCGGATAGAAAACTAAATAAATCTAGTTAGGGGGGGGAGGGGGTTCAAACCCATTTCAGTTTGCTATCCGACAAATTTCAACATTTCAAATTTTTGGCAATTTCAACTCAGAATGCCTTGGAATGGTTTAAAAATAAAGATTTTACCTGATGCTTTCTTCGTCAAGATCATTCCAATGGATTCTATTCTATCAATAGTTGTTAAAAGCCGCAAATTACGATAGGAATTAACAAAAACTAGATCGTGTTTAGCAATAATTTTTCAAATTCTCAAACCGGAAGTAAGCGATCAACTTTCACGGTATTTAGTTTTGTGGGGGAGGGGGGGGGGTCTGAGTCAAAACTAGATTTATTTAGTTTCTGATCCGACATCGAACTTTTGATGCCTCCCCTAATGTTCTGAACCTCAGACTTGGAGAATATAGTTACGATTGGAAGACATGAGATCATGTTTGATGAATGGTTTAATTAAGAAACATCCCGTCATTAGCCCTTGGTTTATTTTCCTCATCTCCAGAGTTTCATTTGATGTATTTGATGATTTCCTTTTTAGCATAATGTTAATTTGCACTCAATTCTGTGATAAAATATCACTGCCTTGGTGTCATATTTTAGGTTTTCGACATTTAGACCTATTTTGTACTCTCCAGGGATTAAAAATCAACTGGGAGCAAAATATTTTCTGAGTAAGAAATTTGCAAAATTAGAAACTTTTTTCCTGATTTTTCCAAATCCTCAACTTGGTGCAAGTAGATTTTCAACTGGGTGCAATGTTATCTTTAGCTTCTCATTTGAGTGTAGCACCCACTTACTTTATTCTTGAAAGATCATGCTTGAAAAAATACAGATGCCTGGCTAAAATTGTTTTTTAGTATCCCCAAATTAAGACTTGACTATTAACAGGAAATGGTTTGATTCTCATTTGTGACAGGCAGTAAATCAACTCTTGGGCATAACCCCCCTCTCCCCATAGTTTTAATCAAAATCGATGCTAACTCATTTTGTGTATTGATGTGTCTGACCTCAGAAGTTCCGGGAACCATTCCCAAGAGTCTCCTTGTCTAGACTCGAGTCACCATGTTTGACATAATTAGAATTAGTCGAGGCATCATAACATGATAACATCACCATTTTTTAGCAAAATTATCAGTTGGGGAATTTTGCAAGGGCACCCAAAAATAAAACAAGATGAAATATATGTCTATCTTGATTCATAAGTGATAGTTTGATTACAAGAGAGAGATCTTTACATTGAGGATGGTTAAAGCATGACAATAATATAATAAAACAAATATTTCATTCTATAGTCACACTCTTACTCACTATAGCAGCAGGAGATCCAAAGGGCAAATTGTGCTTCGGTTAGCGACATTTCTATCTCCGCCGTGGCGTGATATAGTCCCGATTTCTCGGTACACGAGTTCGTAGAAAAATACGACACCTCAAATCAAGAGGCCATAACTCAACC